AACATCTTACTACCGGAAGTGGACCACCACAAACACCTGGGACTTTGGTTGGAGTCGTCTTTATCATGGGATTATCACATTAACTCAATTTGTGCTAAAGCTAACAAGGTGTTGGGCTTGATTAAAAGGACATTTGGTTATTCAAACAAGACTGGTATCAAGACAGCTTTCAAGGCGCTAGTGATACCTATCCTCGAGTACGCCTGCCCAGTCTGGAACCCTTATCTGGTGAAACACACCAAGGCAATCGAAGCAATTCAGAGAAGAGCGTCCCGACTAATATGTGGCCCCGACAAAGAATATCCTGAAAGACTTTTAGAGTTAAAATGGGACTCTTTAGAACTGAGACGGAAATATCTTAGCCTAGTTCAAATGTATAAGATTATATTTGGTTACTGTGATATCAATTGCCATCATTACTTTGATATTATTGGAATAACTCGAACTAGAAGTAAGCATGAGTATAAAATAAGGCCTAAAGTTGCCCGTACAAATTATTTTAAATATTCATTTTTTGATAGATATATTAATGATTGGAACTCTTTGCCTTCTGAAGTAATGTCATCTCCCAGCCTTCAGTCTTTTAAAGTTTCACTGATTAAGTACCTTCGCTCATAATTTACTTTAAAATACTAGGCATAGTGTCTTTACTATAAGTTTATGCATTATTATTAGGCATCTAGGTTTATAATTTATAGTCTAATTTATAGTCTTTTAATATATGTTTATATATTAATTAATTTTTTTTTTCTTTTTTCTTTTTTGGAGGGTACGTCTTAGCATGGGAATTTGGTTTCCCTCTACTACCGCCCTGTTAACCATTTTTGTATTTTTGTTCGATTGTATATGTTAGTATTAGTTCATTTGTATCAGTTATGTATGGTTACGAACTGTGATTAAAGATTAAAGATTATGGGCGCGCGCAAACTTTATCCTAATGCGTTCTAATTCTTTTCGATAAGTTAGATACGTAATAAACGATGGCTACTTCAAATTATAATTATGGTAAATGTTCTCTTTTGCTTAATCTTGGGATGTAAAAGATCTTTTCAAAGATACCGGTTATGTATCCTTTACGGCAAAAGGCCTCTGTTAAAAGGTGTTCGAGCTCATAATTTCGAACGTGCGTTCATGACGGCTGAGCGCCAAGTAACTTCCAAAACATTCGGAACAAAAGAACAAAAAGCAAGAATTATCTCTTGCGAGCGACTCCCAGAAAAGCGATTTATGGAAAATTCAGCTTCTAGCCAGATTTTTCCACAGGAGCAGAGATTTGAAATTTACCGCGGAGAATGCTTTAATGGTGGCTTTCCACAGACCGGTCAGCGTGGAAATACATCAAACGGTAGACACCCGGGTACAATCGAAGAAGAAGACATCCTTATTCGAAACAGTTTATGGGGAGATTGCGATTTTGGTCCTCCAATCGCAAATCCTGTGACTATAAGGGAAAATGGCGCTGGAAGACGTTCTGGTAAAGATTTCAGAAGTGATAGTCACAGCAGTCAAAAATTGAGTTTAAGACAGGATATTTGCTATGACACTCCTACAGACGAATCAAGACGAATCGGTGCATCTTCACTGATTTCCGTTGCACCACCCCTACCGAAAATTGGGCCAAAACAAAAGAGCTTCAGTAAATATGACCTCACCACTGCAGATGACATGAATATTTTACAACATGATATTCCCAAGCCTGATGGTCAACTAAAGAGGTATAATGATGGTTTAATTCCTCATACAAAACAGAACAACTTTTTTCGAGAAAACCGGGACCATCGTGACCTCGCCCTGGCTACGGATATGACGGACAATTTTGACTCTGTTCCAACTTCAATGACTTCAGGCCATAGCGCAATTCCACGCCCGAAAAAGAAGGATTCGACGCGAAAACCTAATTTTACCGACAATATTATGTTGTCCAGAGATATAGACCAGATTTTAGATGAAGAAGTCGGCGGCTTTGGCTCAACTGAAATGATAGCTCCCAGGAACGGTGCAGGTGGGCGTAGGAAAAAGGCTGTAGTAAAGAATCCAACTGGGGTACAAGAAAGGCAGTTGGCAAAGGATATCGAATACATTCAAATTAAGGAACAGTTCACAGAAAATACGTCAAGTGGAACAACATCACGTCCCCAAAATGTAAATGCGATGAGAAAACCGGAGAGCGACGATGAAATTAAAGCAGTTATTACTTGCATGGACACGATAATTGAAGAAGACCTTGGGAATTTTGTTTCTAATGCCCTAGAAAGAGCTTCAAATTTGTTGGTCTTACCAAGAAAGTTATCTCGAAAAGGTGTGAGTGACAAAAATATCTGTTCAAAAGAAACAGTCTGTGTTGTTTCCAACAGAGCCAATGAGTACATTTTTACCACAGGGACGCCAGCACGTCCTCTTACAAGGCCGCCCACAGATGAACAAGACCATCTCGATGACATAATGCTAGCTAAGGCCATCGAAGGTATTTTGGAAATTCCAGTAATTAACTCGACAAGCCTTCCGTCAAAGCAAAAGACGAAGACAACTTTTTCTGATGACAGCATGCACATTGAGAAAAAATCGAAGCAAAGAGTTACGGAAGCGAGGAAGAAAGATGCAGCTGTGGATGGAACACGTCCTACAGTATGTAAAATGCCCGAGGATTGCACTATCGAAGAGTTAGTTGCGGAGGTTTTCCCTGATCTGTTGCCTGAAGTCCTTCCTTCAAAAGTTACTGCGGTCTCAGACGTTAACTTGCCAGATATCAATCGTGGCAGTACTTGTTCCGTTACTAATGGAGATGACTTGAGACCCATGGCGGCAAGCCCTTCAAAAGTGCGATTTGGCCAACTAAATAAAGGCAACAGCACACGCGCAGAAAAGTGGACAACTGGAATCTTTTACAGTGACGTAGAGCTGAGGCTTATGGGACAGATTGAGAGAAACTATAACACTAGATAGCGGTCAACTGATCAAGATAAGGTTACATATGAGCATGTTTGTAGACAAATAACACTTCTACCTCATGCATGATAGAGCGGTTTTCATTTGAGTGTCGAAAAGTAATTGGTTTTGCACTTTCTACACGATGCGATAGATTGGCTTAAAAGATTCGCGCCACCTTTTCATCCAATCAGAAGTAAAACCAAAGCCAATTGTGACGCGCTCGCATGCATTTTTCCGCGCTTTGCGTCAGCCACATGTAATTACTTCGAGTTTTGATTGGTTCAATGTATTGTCTGTGTCCTATGTGATTGGCCAGAGTAATTACTTTGGTTTTGGTTTTACGACACTCAAACGAAAACCACTCTAACCAAGAAGTATCAAAATTAAAGGCGTTAAGAAAGTTGGCAAGCTCATACAGCGTATGCATAAAGTTTAAATCAGCTTCGTTTTACAAAAATACATTTTTGTAACTAGATAGGTTAAGAGTTTAATATCCCAGAATATAAGGAAAACTAATTATTTGATCTGCCAATCACTGGTCTGTTCTTACGGAGAGCGCTCTTAAAGGTAAAAAGCAATGACAAAGCCTGATAAATGAACAATACATTTGTTTAAGATGATAAAAGAGTATGTCTGTTCAAGGTATGGATTTTGTATCAGATAATTATATCAAATAGAAAGCACTTTTTTGGATCCAGTTACCTAGCTTAAACCAACTTGCAACAAAATGGAACTATTAAAATGCTGCATGTGAGAATATCTCTTTGTTTCAAAATTTGTTCCGCAAAATTTCAACAGTAATAGCCCACATTTTATCTAGTCAATACTTTATTAAAATAAGGAGTGTGCAAGTAGAGTATACCTTATAGGTAGTAGACTATTAATTGTGTCTGAGAATAGCCCACGTTCGATATATCAAAATTCTAACATGACTTCCGAGACTTTCTGATCATTTTTATATATTTGGTTTGGTTTTTTTTTGTGCTCAAGTCTCTTCTGGGAATTGCGACACAATGGAGTCAAGAAAAATTTGCCATTTTGTCCCTAAGGCCTCGGAGTCATGTTAGAATTTTAATATATCGAACGTGGCTATTGTGGGATATCTTATTTAAATTCTTTTTAAGTGGCAAATTAAAAAAGTTAACATAAAGACCAAACAAAACAAAAAACGATAAAAAAGCCTGACAATCGTTAAAGAGGCATCTAGTACAATAATCGAAAAGAAGTAGACGCATTGTATACATGTAAAAATGCCCCGGTGGATTAATTGAAGGGGGAGGGGGATCACATGACAGAGCAGGGTGCAGAGATTGGACCAACGTCCAACTCTGGAACTCCGTTTCTAATCCCAGCACCGAATTTGACACCGGCTCTTACAGCAAAAGGCCCGGCCCTGGCCTCCCCGAGTGAGGCAGACACGTTTCCCCCTGCGTAGTCCCAGGAGACTCCAGTCTCTGCTCCTGCTGCGGGTCCCTGGGCATGGGCTTGAAGCGGGGTGTGGGCGATTCCGGCACCAGCCCTTGCAGTCACAGCTTCAGCTACAGCATAGGCTCCCAAATGCTCGATGCCAACGCCAGCTTCGGCTGCTGCTTTTCCCACGTAGGCCTCTGCATTAGCCTCGACGATCCCCTCAACTAGAGCTGCTTTGGCACCTGCATTCGGTCCATAGGCACCAGCCCCTGCTTTTGCTTGAAGAGGGTTCGCAGAGGCACTTGCTGTCGCCTTTGCTACCCCAGCACCAGCCTCAGCATGAGCCACTTTTATCCCTATAAACTCAGTTGCTGTTGCAGAATTATGGGCATGATGCGAAAATGTTGCGGCATCGGCAGATGCGTGGGCGCCAACTTTTTTCCACAAGTATTCATTTCCTTTATTGGCCACTTCCCTTCCAATAACAGCTCCCTTGTCTTTCGCCACCTTCTTAGCTCTGTCCCTAGTGCTTTTCTGCTCTTGACCGATTTTTTCCTCTTTCAATTCACTTAGTCCCTTTTTGCCCCAGTGCACTTGACAATCCTTTTCTTCTGTCACCAGGTACGATAAGAGGCTATCGCTATTGTGCTCATCAATAACTTGCCGACCCTTTAGGGTGGTGAAATTTTTGCCATGTACTGCAGATGACGCTGGTGGCTTCTTCCTGCATTTGTCGTTACATTCAGCATGGACCATGGTCTTGCAAAACTTGCAAGTGGTGATTTTAGAACTTCCATACGGCTCATCGCAGTGTTGACAGCGTTCTTTGCTCGATTGGGACAT